TTTAAAAAATAAATGGTTGAGCATCTCCCCTTTCACTGAAAAAGTGTAAAAAAGAATTTTTTAGCCTCACCTGAGGATATGTTTTTATTTATTTTTAGAAAGAGGACGGGGAGAGACAAAGAGAGAGAAACATTAATGTGGGAAACATTATCGACTGTTGCTCTATGTGCCTTGACTGGGGATCAAACCTGCAACCTAGGTATGTGTCCTGCCTTGGGGTATGAGATGACACTCCAATCAACTGGCCAAGGCAGGAGTGTGAAAATTAGCTCCTGTAGTCAAGAAGTCAGAACTAGTCCTAGGGATCACATTTGAACGTTTATTCAAATTCTGGCATCTAAAATGTCTAACCTCATCACAATCACTAGCCTTCTATGTTCAGTTACAAATAACAAAGTAATGACACTATTTTTTAAAAGCATACGTTTAATTCTCTCTCACATGTAGAAGGTTCCAAAATCAGGATAGTGGCTAAACTATATCATAAAGGACCTAGTCTCCTTTGGTCTTTCCTCTCTATTACACTCGTCAGCATGGAGGCTTTTTGTCCTTGTGCTTTTCACCTCAGTGGTATAAGCAAACTGCTATAATTCCAAGACAACTATAATAAGGTAGGAAAAGTGGGCACTGACTCCTTACCTTATTATAAGAGAGCAAAATCCTCCCTAGCAAACATCTCTTTATGTCAAATTGGTCAGAACTGGGTCACATTCCCATCTCTAAATCAATCTATTTCCATAGAGAATAGGATTACTATGCTTCTTTAGACTATTGATGGCTCATTTCTTAGAAGAGGGAATCCCCTCTCTGAACACATTGCTTCCCTTATAATATCAAGATTCCTTAAAATAGATCTTTATTTTTTTTAAAGTTGTTTAGTAGATAACAACAAAGGGGAAAAATCCACAGGATTCATTCACCAACTAAATAATGAGAAAGGAGACTCAAATATCATTCAGAAGTTTCAAGCTTGGGTAACTACGACAATCATACTGCCAAGAATAGATTTTAAAAAAGAGAACATGGGAGGAAAAATCTAGTTTGCGAGAGAGACAAAAATGAATTCCATTTTCTTATCCTTACTTTGAGGTGCAATTAGGTAGTCTGGTGGAAATGGAGGATGAAACCTGAGGAGAAGAGCTGGACTTCAACACAAACATTGTTCAACCCACAATGAGGTAGGACTACTAGTAGAGAAAACGGAGAAAGAAGAAAAATCTTGGTGAATAGCTATAATTAGGAGATAGTAAGAAAGGGTGTTGCCATAAAGGAAAAGAAGAGGGAATAATTAATTACTGATATATAAGGGACTACAATCATGTGGCAGCCAAGAAGTAAAGTTTCCAAAAGAAAGCAGTGGTTGACACTATAGACTGCTACAGAGATGTCGATGATTCCAAAATACTCTTGAAAATGTTCAGGGATGGCAGGAACATAACACTCATGTGCACTTATTTGGATCCCCTTTTGTCGACCCTTTCAAGAAGTTTGGAAAGAAAGAAAAGTACAGGTTGTCAGGTTAGAGGCAACTGGATTAACAAGTTAATGGTGGCACAGGGGTCAGTGGAGAGGTTACTGAGAACACTTATAGGCTAAGAGGAAGGAGCCTAAAGAATGACCATGTAACATTCAGTGGCATTACATTTATGTTAATTCTTTCTATTTGATCTTGGAATAACAACTTCATATTTAACATCCAAGAAGTTATTTCTTCATCCATAGATGTGTGTGAAGGCCCTATTAAACAATTAAGACAAGTAGGAAAATAAAGCAGCAATTATTTGCCTACCCTCATGAAACAATAAGATTAGCACAAAGAGTTATGCTATGGGTAGAACTTAAGCACCTTAACAGAAGAGAAAATAAGGAAGTAGAGGTTTATACTGTAAAAACAAAAGAAATAATTGCCTCATAGTGAAAACTCAAAATAAAAAGGACACATGATGAGCCATGGTGATGTTATATATCCCTTATCACTGACAAGTGCTTTATAAGCATTTTCACAGGACTTACTGTATACATTATTTCATATTCACTTAACCTTATGAAATGCAGAGGACACCTATTTTTGTTCCTGATTAATAAATGCAAATGGTGAGGATTAGAAAGGTGAAATTACTTGCCAATAGGCAAACATCCAGAAAATGTAGAGACTGGACTTGAACTAGATGTTCTAATTCTAGGTAAAGTGATGTGCCTAATCCTCTGAATTGCTCAAATGTTTGGAATGATTGAGCAGTATTCTTGCCCATCAGCAGAAAACTAGAATTCCCAAGCCCTGGGTCTCCATGATTCCAATGTGCTCACTATTCCTTCAATAGCCTCTTGACAAGAGCAAGTTCATCCAATCATTGTGTGTGTGTGTGTGTGTGTGTGTGTGTGTGTGTGTGTGTGTGTGTTATAGTGTAGTGTTGTGTGCACCTATAGGCTGGGGATAGGGAAGAAGCTACAGAACCAATACTTAGGACGTTAAGAGGAAATAATGAATATCAGACTAGAACACTGAAACCTGTCTCTCTGCCTAGAAATATTCTTACCTTTCATAAAACATTGACAATTTTCAGGGTGTTCAAAAGCCTGCTGCTGACTTCCAAAAGCTCTGGTACCATACAATGTTGTCACTGCAACGGCCCTCCAATGAATCATTAAAAGCCCAGCTAGACTGTTTTGAATATAGTAGTATGCTTGTTGCCAAAACAATAACCTACAATATTTTATATCTATCTATTTAAATTTTAGTGATAATGCATAAATGTTAATACAGTCTTACCCTCATACAATCACAGAAAAGTCTTAACAATACCACATATTGCCAAAACCAGTTTAGCTCAGTGGGTAGAGCGTCGGTCTGCAGACCGAAAGGTCCCGGGTTCGATTCCGGTGAAGGGCATGTACCTTGGTTGCTGGCACATCCCCAGTGGGAGGTGTGCAAGAGGCAGCTGATCAATGATTCTCTCTCATCGATGTTTTTAACTCTCTATCCTTCTCTCTTCCTCTCTGTAAAAAAATCAATAAAATATTTTAAATAATAATAATAATAATAATAATACCACATATTGGCACAGCCCCTAGGTGGGCTATGGCCTGCTAACCAGGCCCAATACATACTTGTCAAGTCACTTAGTCTCCTTCAGCTAAGAAAGTGACATCAAGATATTACACAGCTTCCCCCAAGAAATGTGTTTCCAGAAGCAATGGCAAGGAAGAAGTAGGATCATTTGTTTATATTGAAAATGGAAAGAAAGTACTTGGAAAAAGATCTCCAAAAAGGGTCTGGAAAAAGATGTTAATGTTTGATTTAGTTCTTTTATGGCTTAAGAAAGAAAAAAAAAAAGTGAGCCTCAGTAAGTTCTCAAGACTCCAAAGCCTTATGAGGATAAGACCTGGGACCTCTCCAGGGCTGAAATCACAGCTATCAATGACAAACTTAGATCCTTCACTTTTTCAGTGGTTGCACAAGCATCCTGGGAGACCAAGGGAAATGGAGTCCCTTGGAGGCCATAGCCTTGACTGCCAAAAACTCAACCACAGAAAAATCAGGGTTTCAAGATCAAGGCAGGTTAGTGTTGAGAGAAACAAAGGCCTGCAGTGCTCTCAGTCTCTCCTCATGGGACAATTTTTCTGGTCTTCTCTGCTTTTCCCCTTAATTTACTATAAATAAATAAATAAATAAATAAATAAATAAATAAATAAATAAATAAATAAATAAATAAATAAGTAAGTAAATAAATAAATAAATAAATATTAAAAAAACAAAAAAAGATGCTAAAGTCTCCAATGCTCAAGATGTTCAGAATAGCCTATTTCCTACAGCATCACAATCCCTGCATCCAAGCAAGACAACCCTAATAGTCACCACCCATTCCCTTATAGCTAGAATCAGAATATTGGTTTCTGTTTTTAGAGAAACAAATTGTCTTAGGATATTTTCAAAACTGGAAGCAACTATAGGTCCAATAGAAAAACTATAGATTAAGACATCTTGATATTTTTAGCATGAGTATAAGCATCCACTCTTTGGAGAGATTAGCCTTCTAGCACGAGCCAGATTAATTGAAATTTAAACAACTCCCAACTCAGAGGGTCCGATAACCTGAATGCATGTTGACTGGTTCCAGACAACTAGGAAGAAGACACTTTCTTCCCAAAAGACCCTCCTTGGTCAGGTTCATAATTTATTCATTACCAGATGTATGTAAGTAGCTTCACTTCCAAAAGGATCAACTCTTGGGAATACATCTCCCTTCCTCTATGACTGATATACAACTTTTTATTAGCTTTGAATAAAACAGAGAATGTGATCTAAAATATGTCATTAAGCCCGTAATGGTTTGGCTCAGTAGATAGAGCACTAGCCTGTGGACTGAAAGGTCCCAGGTTCAATTCCAGTCAAGGGCATATATCTTGGTTTCGGGCACATCCCAAGTAGGATGTGTGCAAGAGGCAGCTGATCAATGTTTCCCTTTCATCGATGTTTCTAACTCTCTATCCCTCACCCTTCCTCTCCGTAAAAAATCAATAAAATATATTAAAACATGTCATTAAATGTCCATATATATAAGATGAGGAGGAACAGGGAATCATAAATGGTGACATCCTGGGTGAAAATTCTTATCTACTTGGAATAAGAGCAGAATCAAACCCTTACTCTAGTTTGAGATTAAAGTGAAATAGGGATAGGGATGTACATAGTTTTAAGTGTACCTTTTCCCGGGCCATTCCATCTAAAAGTAAAGCTAGAATTCACCTGAAGGGCCCAAATAATCCTGGCTGATGAGAAGTCTATTCTTCCCCTTCCCCTCCCTTTATTTTTTTTATTGATTAAATTATTACATAAGTGTTCTTATTCCTCCATTGCTCCTCCCGACCTCCCCACCCCCACCCCCGCTCATGTCCTCACCCTAGTGTCTGTGTCCTTTGAGTATGCTTATATGCATGCATATAAGTCCTTTGGTTGATCTTTCCCCCTTTCCCCCACCCTTCCCTGTCTTGTTACTCACCTGGAAAAGGCAGCCCCCAGCACAAATGCAGCATACTCCTTCACCAGAGGCTCTGTGCTATTCAGCCCATTGATCACCACTTGAAGGCCACCGAAGGAAAGCAGGTCCTGTGCATTATCCATCTGCAACAAAGGCACTGCTTAGTACAGTATCATCAAGGAAAAAAGAGCTCTTCCTATAGCCTTTCTTTTAATGACTATTCAAAAACAAAACTAAAAAGTCATGTGAAAAGCAATGGTTGCCTTTCCAACAAGGAATGAGTTTATAAAAGCAAACTAAATTTTTAAATAATTTTAAATTTGAGAACTCCTAATTAAACTAACATGATTTATGAGCACTTGTATGGAAACTGGTGAAATGGCACCTATTCATTGCTTAGGCCAAACATGTCCTAGAAAATTATAATATTAATTCTAGTCATAAAGCTTACTCCTAACATACAGGCTATTAACACAAAGATCCAACATCAGCAACACTACTAAGTGGTGCCATGTTTCCTATTGATGTCTAACCCCAAAGGGGGGCAGTGGAAGCGACAGGCATTTTTTTAAAGTTTATTTTAATTAGAAGCCAGGGACTATGAAAGGAGCTCCACTGCAGGGGGAGGGGGATTTGGCAGAATAATAGGAAGCAGTAACAATAGTATCCTTCTCTTCCATCTTCCTCACTTCATACAGTCCAAGGTGGACTCAATCTGGACAATCATGATAAAAGCTGCACAAAAGCCTAACTCTCAAAGGCTTTAGTCTAGACCTGCAATACTGGCTAGTGGCTATTTATTGGGCAGTGCATAACATTTGCATTATTTTTTTTTAAACATTCTATTGATTTTTTACAGAGAGGAAGGGAGAGAGATAGAGAGCTAGAAACGTTGATGAGAGAGAAACACCGACCAGCTGCCTCCCACACCCCCCCACCAGGGATGTGTCCGCAACCAAGGTACATGCCCCTGACCGGAATCGAACCCCGGACCTTTCAGTCCGCAGACCGACGCTCCACCACTGAGCCAAACCGGCTTCAGCAACATTTGCATTATTACATAAAGTTCTATCATTCAGCACCGAGCTAGGCTATCATTTAAGTTCCAAAGCCTCAAGTCCAGACAATCTATCTTTTTTTCTATGAAAGAGGGGATATCTCCTTTCCCAAGAGTCATTAGAATCCTGGGAAAACCCTAGCTGGATTTAGCTCAGTGGATAGAGCATCAGGCTGAGGACTCACAGGTTCTGGGTTCGATTCCAGTCAAGGACACATGACCAGGTTGTGGGCTCAATCGCCAGTAGGGGGCATGCAGGAGACAGCCAATCAATGATTCTTCTCATTTATGTTTCTCTCTCTCCCTCTCCCTTCCTCTCTGAAATAAATACAAATAAAAAATCTTGGAACAAGAAGAGCTTCCTCAGAAAGGTAAATGGATGCCAGTTTCCTCATGGAGTGGCTTCAAGTATCCCTTGAAAATATCTTTGTTGCTACAAAAGCTGCCTCTTGCCCACATGCTGATCCCACTCTATAAATCATCAGGAAAACCCAGGAAGGTAGAGCCCAACAACGTGACTGCTACCCACCTTTTTCCTCCAGATGCCACAGAGCCCTTTCCTACCTGTGTACTTCCAAACTGGAAGAGAGCTCTAACAGAGAAATCAAGTTTAAAGAACTGTATTTTGCTTACTTTGGGGTGGTCCTAGCCTGTTTTTACCATTTAGAAGATCATTCTTATACATTCATATAAACTCCACAAGAGCAGAGGTTTTTATCTGCCCACTATTATAGGTCTAGTGACTAGAATAGCACTAAGCATATAGTTAGGTGCTCAGTAAATAAACATTAAGCCAGTGAATGCATTTGGTCAGAAAAATATGTTACTGCAATAACCTCCACTGTAAGTTAAAAAAGAAAAGGCAATCTGGAGCATCTGTGCCAACAAAATGGATAGGTCCCATGTATCACAGACCTGAACAAACAGCCTAACCAGGGACATGAAGTAAGTATGGAGTTGGCTCTGCCATTAAGACCCCAAAACAGGGCTGGGATTTTTCTGCCCTAATCTGCCCTTATAAAGAGGATTGATTATTGGGTTATAGCAGAGCTAACTAGGGAGACTACAAAGCGGATGCTTTACTAACATAAGCATAAATAATACTTACTGAGCCTTCCTCACATACTCTGTTTTTAAAATCCAAGAACTCATCACCTCTCCTTTGATCCTCCTTTCTTCAGGTCTTTTGCATACAAAACCATGGCTCAGAGTTCTGTCATTCTGTGCCTAGGATGGCTACATATCAAAGCTTGTATGAGTTCCTACAAAAACAGCTGCCACTCTGAAAGCGCCAAAACACAGAGTCCAGAGTCACAAAGGTTCTGTTCTAGACTATCTTTATTACTACAAAGATATTTCGGGGTATTATATATACTGACATTTATATAAGCACTTCAGTTTTCTCAAGATTGTTTTTCTCATTTGTTATTTCACTAGAGATGAGAAAGAAAGGAGTCGCCAAAACCGGTTTGGCTCAATGGATAGAGCGTCGGCTTGGGGACTGAAGGGACCTGGGTTCGATTCCGGTCAAGGGCATGTACCTTGGTTGCAGGCATATCCCCAGTGGGGGGTGTGCAAGAGGCAGCTGATTGATGACTCTCTCTCATCGATGTTTCTAGCTCTCTATCTCTCTCCCTTCCTCTCTGTACAAAATCAATAAAATATATTGGAAGGAAGGAAGGAAGGAAGGAAGGAAGGAAGGAAGGAAGGAAGGAAGGAAGGAAGGAAGGAAGGAAGGAAGGAAGGAAGGAAGGAAGGAAGGAAGGAAAAGAAAAGAAAAGGAGTCATTCTGCCCACTGCATGCCCAGAAGATCAAGCTTCAAAATCTGGGTCTGGAGGCAGAACTTCTCCAAGGATGTCTTCAGAATAAGGTGGGACAGGTGGAAAGGAAGTCAAGATAGAAGAAGGGAGTGCTAAAGATGGGGGTAGAAGAGAGCTATGTCAACACTCAGGAGGAAAAAAGAGAACCACAACACTGATAAGACAATGAGAGAAAAGGAAACCGAGAAAGGAAGAAATGATGGTAAATCACTGAGGAGTTGTGATGTGAGAGAGGTGGATGAGCAGACAGAAGCTGCTCCTCATAAGTAACTCACAAACTGTTTTCCGCACCCTAGCTTTGCTTTTCACAAATCCTGTTTAATAATTCAAACATGGCTATGAGGAATACTTGGGCAGATCCATTTTGGGTCCTTGAAGCCCATGGCTCTCAAAACCACCAATCAGTGAATCTAGAATAGGAGTAGACTGGTGAAGTTCCTGGCAAGTAATATCCTATCTTCCTCAAAGCTAGTGCTACATCACCCCAATTTCCCAGTGCAACTGGAACTTGAGGCTAAGTTGTGTCTTCTTTAATCACAACGTAACACTGTTGCATGGAAACCTGACATACCATCCCAAACCAAGGACCTTATATTTCCAATTAAAAGGCTAATGACCGAAAACATTTATGACTCTTCTGTCAACAGCGCAAGTTTGGCCTCTAATAGGGAACTGATTGATTACCAGGCTAACCTCAAGCTAAGGTGGACAATGTCTAACTGTTTACTCTAGTGCACTATGAAAGCTATCACCTGGCTTTTGGAAAAAAGAAATCTGTCAGGGCCCTCTTGTGTACTCACTCCCCTCTGCTATGAAAAGCTTTCTAGTCATTTTGGCTTTTTATGCTGCAACTAAAGGAAGAGCTTACAGAAACCTGGTAACTGAAGATCAATCCAAGTATGTTAAGATGAGAAAAAATAAAGCTGTCAACATCAAAGCAGGAATGACTTAGCCAATAACCCCTAAGATCCTCAGTCCTTTAAATATCTATAATAGAAATGCTATTAGAATGTTTGTTTTTTTACCCTGGAGAGAAAGACTGGAACCCAGATCCATTTTCTTCTTCTCTAAGGAGATCACAGACCTGCTATTTGCAGACTGAGAAAGAGTTATGAGCAGAGAAAGAAGATAAAGTGGCCCTCCCATAATTCCTGCAGATACATATACACTTATTCTCTCTCACCACAAAGGCTGACAAATCCTAAAGAGAATGTTTTTAGCCTAGTTTATAATAGAGAACAAGGATGCTGTCGTGTGTGGGAGGATAGTGAAGATCTATGTCTTGGTGGGGATCTCAAAAAGCCTTTGATTAGGATTACACAGCTTTCCTGGGGAAACATTCCCCATAGTCTGGATTACTGCAACAGCCTCCTCTCTGATTTCTCTGCTTCTGCCCATGACTATCCCACCCCTGCCTCTTTTCTAATTCTCAATACAGCAGCCAGAGGGATCCTTTAAAAGTCAGAGCATGTCATCCTCTAACAACGTCCAATTTCATTATTTTCCATGACCTACAAGGAACTCCATGGTCTTCCTCCCATCATCTTTCTGAGTTTCTGAGTTTCATCTACCTCTCTCCCTCTTCTCTCAGCTCCAGCCACACTGACTTCCTTGTGGTTCCTCAAATACATTAGATATGCTCCCACTTTAGGGATAAGAGTATTTCCTGTTTCTCTTCTCCAAGAGGCTCCTTTTCTTCCCTGCTCTTTTTATTTTTCCATAGTATGTATCACCTTTAAACATATTGTATATAATTTACTTATTAGTTATGTTTATTGTCTATCTGTTTCTGCTAGAAGGTAAGAGATATATCCTAAGTGGCTGGAAAGTGTCTGGGACTTAACTGGCACCCAACAAATTAATTTATTGAATAAATAAATGGCTTATCTTGGTTCCTTAGACTCACTACCTTTCAGGCTTTATTCAGATGGTACCAGTATCCTGTAAGAGGCAGAGTGGCCTAAAAGTTAAGCACATAGAGTTTGGGGTCAGTCAGGCTTTGTTATAAATCCCAGCTCTACCACTCACTAAATGGGTGACCTTGGGCAATCACAAATGTGACCTCATTTGCCTCAGTTATAAAATGGGATTAATATCAGTGCAGTGCCTACTCATAAAGCAGCTGTAGAAACCAATAAGTTAATGTGTACAAAGCACTTTAATATGAGCCAATTATATGATAATGCTCCATATATTTTAACTATTATGATATAAGTCTCTCTGATCAGTCATTTCCCTGCTTCAAATTCTCCAATGCTTCTTAGGATCGATGATATAATCATAAAGAGCATGGTATTCCCAACCCCAGCCTCTGATCCCCTAACCTTTCTACTTTTTCTCTCTGCTACTCCATCCCCTGGTCACTATGCTCTAATCTTTTCCAGGTCCTCAATTTCACCAAGCTCTTCTCTAACTCAGAATCTTTGCACATGATGTTTCCTCTGCCTAGAATGGCCTAATCCAAGAGTTGGCAAACTTTTTCTAAAGAACCTGGTAATAAATATTGTTAACTTTTCTGAGCCATATGGTTTCTGTCTCAACTCCTCAACTCTGGCCTTGTAGCTTAGATACAGCCCAAAACAATAAAATAATACATAAACAAATAGGTGTGACGGTGTTCCAAGAAAACTTTACTTATAAAAGCTGGCAGTGGAGCAGATTTGGGCTATAGTTTACCATCCACTGCTTTAATCTCCTCTTTTTGCCTAGCCAAGTCCTATTCATCCTTTATGCTCAGCTTAAATGTCACATACTCAGGTAAGCCTTCCCAATGCCCCTAACTAGGCTAAATTCCCGTCATATACTCCTATATTACCCTTTGGAGCCCTCAACACAATTTTAAATTCTCTCATCATTAAGTTGTTAATTAGATCATTGTTGAATTATTTATTTAATTACTAGAGGCCCAGTGCACCAATTCGTTCACAGGTGGGGTCCCTCAGCCTGGCCAGCAATGGGGGCCAATCGGGGCATCTTGGCCAGTCCCACTCAGGGCCGGCTGGCTGGAGAAAGGGACCACAGAAGGTTGGCAGGCCACAGGAGGTTGGCTGTGGGAGTGCGCACTGACCACCAGAGGGCAGCTATTGCATTGAGCCCTTGCCCCCTGGTGGCCAGTGCATGTCATAAGGACTGGTCAACTGGTCATTTGGTCAGTCAGTTGTAACGGTTGCTTAGCCTTTTATTTATATAGATTCTCTCTTACAAAACTGTAATTGTGGAATAGGGACCACATCTATTTTACTTCTGCTATATCCTCAGTGTTGAAAATTAAAGGACGTAATCCTCCAAATGAAAAAGAGGTTGACTCTGGCCTCTAAGAATGCATCTTGCCCTGGCCAGGTGGCTCATTGCTTGGGAGAGTTGTCCTGTGCACCAAGTTCCATTTCTGGTCAGGGCACATAATTTACAGGTTCTAACCCGTTAGGACAGGTATGAAAAAAAAACCAATAAATATTTTTTTCTCACATTGATGTTTCCTTTATTTTCTCTCTCCCTTTCCTCTCTAAAATCAATAAAAACATATCATGGGTGGTGATTAAAAAAAAGGAATGTATCTTAAGAAAATAGATATTGGCCTAGATTAAAAATAATGTGCATGCTGGGAGAGAAGTATAGATGCTGATGTATTTTCTAAGAGCTTAGGACAAAAGATAGAGGGTGGGAAGAAAAGTTGTGAGTTAAAAATCAGACTTATGGACAATAAAAGACAATACCTGGTGGACATAATATTCAAGATCAAAGAGTGCAGCAATCTTCTCTTCCAGGCTGGAGCTGGAACTATTGAATTTGTTGATTAGCCGTACCATGATCTGCATGTCAGTCTCAATTACAACATTCAGCTCCGCAAAGTCCCTTTTTAGCTCCTCAATGGGGCGGAAGAGACGTTTAACCTCAGCCTGCCTTGCCTAGGAAGCAAAGAGATGATTAATTAAATCAATTGGAGATATCTTTCCAAGACTCCTGTGTTCTACCATGGATGCTCCTCCTTAAAGAACTGCTTTTTCAACACTCAAAATTTTCGTTCATGTATACTATGAATGAAATATCTTCTAAAATGATTTCAGAGTCTACTCATATGGCCCTCTGCCCCAATAAACACCCAATGTTTGCCAAGGTTCTCTTATCCCAATCTGACTTCCGATATTCAGGAAGACTGAAAAGTCTTGTTGTAATCACTGAGGTCAGGGAAAGCAATGCAAGCTCACTTTCAATCCTTAATAGGGAAATGCTGAGGTCAAAGTGGAATAATCTACACCTTAGTTCTCTATATTCTACAATCATAGAATATCTTGGCTTTGTCCTGCCCAATCCAGGAACATTATAGGGAAACCCAGATGTAGAAAACTGTTGTTAAAGAGATATCAGAGTGGGAGCAATTTGCTAATGAAAGTTAAATCACTGTCATTACTGTCAATCTAACTACAGGTATACAATTTGTTCAACTGTTTAAAGTGGCTAAATTACTGTATGTACTATACTCAAATCTCAAACAGTTTTCTCTCAATCCCTCCTTACCCCACACTCATACAAAGGTTTTATTTTATTTTTTTATATATAATATATTTTATTGATTTTTGTACAGAGAGGAAAAGAGAGAGATAGAGAGCTAGAAACATCGATGAGAGAGAGTCATCGATCAGCTGCCTCTTGCACACTCCCTACCGGGGATATGCCCGCAACCAAGGTACATGCCCTTGACCGGAATCGAACCTGGGTCCCTTCAGTCCCTAAGCTGACGCTCTATCCACTGAGCCAAACTGGTTTCGGCCATACAAAGATTTTAAAAATGAGGTGATGTTGGAGGTGAATAAAAGATTTTAATTAGATATTTTATACCTGTGAAACTCCTTGTTTTCTTTCAATTTTAGAGGATAGTGCTTTTAATGAGTCTGAAATGTCACAGTGGTTTTTGTCTCAATCTTTTGAGAAAAATTAAAAGGCACGAATATTTATAAAAAGCAGAATGATGAGCAGCTGTCAGTTCCAAATTGCTCATCTATTTATTACCTTTGGGTTTTTCTCCAGTTATAAGCACTCTATAGAAACACCAACCAAGGAGAATAAATCAGCCTCTCTTTTAAAAGACCAAGCTCCTAGCAGAGTAATCACATCTATAGGATGCCATATTCTGCTTACAGCAGAGAGATGTTCTCCCTATACCCTGCTAGAGAACTCTGCCAGACAAAGAACTGTAGGATGACAAGCAAGTGAGCAGAATAAGAAACTAGTAACTTCAGCCTCACAAAAATTATGTTTAAGTGGACCTCTGAAAGCTTTTTTTTTTTTTTGAAGGAAAAAAAGCTGTTTATTTTGCAATAATTAAATACTTACAGTAAATTACAAAAATAGTACAGACAGTGCCATCCTTTCAGCTTCCCCCAATGGTAACATCATACATTATAATAGCACAACATCCAAACCAAGAAAATGACTTAGGTACAATACTGTTAATAAGACTACAAGTCTTATTCAGATTTCACCGGCAAAATTTTAAATGTTCACATTTGCATGTATGTGTATTATTCTAAACAATTTTGTTCAATATATAGATTAACGTGACCACCAGAACAATGAAGCTACAGAACCATCCATCTCCACCTCCATTATGTCCCTTTATTATTATTTTTTTAATCCTCACCAGAGGATATTTTCCCATTGATTTTTAGAGTAAATGGAAGGGAGAGGGAAATAGAAATGTTGATATGAAAACACATCAATTGGTTGCCTCCCACACGCTCCCAACAGAGGCTGGGAATTGAACCTGCAACATAAGCCTGTAACCGAAGTATGATACATGCCCTGACCAGAATCAAACCCCGGACCCTTCAGTCTGTGGGCCAAGGCTCTATCCACTGAGCCAAACCCACCAGAGTTGTTGTGCTCCTTTATAAGTGTACCTCATCCTCCCATCCACTCTCTTTTGTCATTATGTCCTGGCAATCACTGATTTGCTCTCCATCTCTATAATTCTGGCATTTGGATAATGTTATATATAAGGAATTACAAATAACCATTTTTTAGTGCTTTTTTAGTGAACATAATGAATTTGAGATGTATCCACATTACTGCATATATCAATGGTTCATTTCTTTTTAATGCTGAGTAGTATTCCACTGTATAGACATTTGTTTTCAAACAGCTATTGAAGAAAATTTGAGTTATTCCAGGGTTTTGGCTATTATATTATTCAGTTTCATGAATCTATGGGTTTATGCATTTCATCATCTCTGGGAACGTTTCCATCTTCATTTCTTTATTTTTTTAGTCCCATATTCTTCTTTCTTCTAAAACTCCAGTGACACAAATTTTAGATCTTTTTTTACACAGGCATACCACGGAGATATTGCAGATTCAGATCATACAATAAAGCAAATATCACAATAAAGTGAGTCACACAAATTTTCTGGCTTCCCAATACATATAAAAGTTATGTTTATATCATACTGTAGCCTATTAAGTATGCAATAGCATTATATCTAAAACAAAAACAAACAAAAAAAAACTATGATGTACATACCTTAATGTAAAAAAATATTTTACTGGTAAAAATGCTAAACATCATCTGAGCCTTCAGCTAATTGTAATCTTTTTACTGGTGGAGGGAAAACACAATATCTTCAACGCTCATTAAAAAGAGGTATGCCTGTAGTACTATAGTTTCCTAAAATCTCTGTACACTTTTCCGATCTATTTTTTTTTTCTTCTTTAGATTAAAAAAATTTTATCAGTCTTTAGGTCCACTGATGTTTTTCTCTCTCTCATCTCTATTTTGTATTAAGCCTACCCATTAATTTTTTTAAAATTGCTGTATTTTTCAGTTCTAAAATTCCATTTAGTTCTTTTTTATATCTTTTATTTCTTTGCTGAGGTTATCACTTGTTTCAAGAGTGTTCATCTTGCTTTTTTTAATGATAGCTGCTTTAAAATACTTGTCAGATAATTCTAATTTCTGAGTCATATCACTACAGGTAATTCCTAAAATATGTTTTGATTTTCCTGATTATTGGTATAATGAGTGATTTTTTTTATTGTATCCTTGACACTCTGGTCTTAAGACTCTGAATCTTCCTTTTCAGTAGGCAGTCACAGTTTAATATGCTGGTACTGGCCTTCTTGTATAGCTATGACTACAAAACAATTAAGTTTTCAGAGCCTTTGCAGTGTTATTTTGGTCTACTTTTTTTGTGTGCTAATCAGAAGCTAATCTAAACACCTGGGCAGTATTCCAAACTATAGTTCAGTTCTTAAATCTTTTGCTGTGTTAACTCTGGTCAGTTTCTCATGTAAATCACTAAAAAGCATGCCCAAGACTTCATTTGCAAAATTCCTTTCTCTAGCTCCCTTCTCCCCACACTCTCTAGTTAGGGGGGGGAAATACATCATCTGCCACCACTGGGCACTGGACATTGAGAATAGAATTCCTTCCTTAGCCTCTACTGACAGCACCGTAAGGGGGATTGAAGCTTGCCTCATTGCTACTGGTCTAGGGGTGGAAAGCTGGCCTCCTCAGTTACTCCCACTGACATTGCCTCAGAGTGGGAGCACAATACTGCATCACACTGCCTCACTGCCACCAGGTAAAGGGTGAAAGTATAGACTCCCCATTCACCCCCACCCTCCGCTGGCATTACCTCAGCTAGGAGATGTCTGTGGCACACCGGGGCAAAGAATTTTCAGTAATCACCAGAGGCTTGCCCCTAATTCGTGCACAGGGCAAGGGGGGATACCCTCAGCTCAGCCTTCACCCTCTCCAATCTGGGACCCCTTGGGGGATGTCCAACTGTCAGTTTAGACCTCATCCCAGGGATTGGGCCTAAACCAGCAGTTGGGCATCCCTCTCACAATCTGGGACTACTGGCTCCTAACTGCTCACCTTCCTGCCTGCCTGATTGCCCCTAACTGCCGCTGCCTGCCAGCCTGATTGCCCTTTACTGCACCACCCTCCACCCCCTGGCCGGCCTGGTCATCCCCAACTGCCCCCCCACACCGGCCTGGTCACCCCCAATTGCCCCTCCTGCCAGCCTGGTCACCCCACACAGCCTGTTGTTCAGTCATTTAGTTGTCCCTCACTAACCTCCCTGCCAGCCTGGTCACCCCATGCAGCCTGCTATTCAGTCATCCATCTGTTTTATTTCGCTTGTTCAGTTGTGACGGCCCCTGGCTTTTTATTTATTTTTTAAAATATATATTTTATTGCCTTCTTTACAGAGAGGAAGGGAGAGGGATAGAGAGCCAGAAACATCGATGAGAAAGAAACATCAATCAGCTGCCTCCAGCACAGCCCCCACTGGGGATGTGCCCGCCACCAAGGTACATGCCCTTGACAGAATCAAACTCGGGACCCTTCAGTCCGCAGGCTGACACTCTATCGACTGAGCCTAACTGGTTTTGGCACCCCTGGCTTTTTATATATTAGGATTGTACTGTGTATTCACCAACCCAAGACAAGTAAATAATGATAAACAAAAAGTATGATGGCTTCTGCGGTCCGAAGTTTAAGAAATGTAAGAAACTCTCCAATAAAGTCCATTTATTTGCCACTCCCAGTGCACTGGCAATGAGCAGAATCCGTCCAAACAGGCTCAAATTGAAAGCGGGAGAAACACCCAGACTCAGCACCTCAATGAAGGAGCTAACAACCTGAGCTCCACAGAAGTAAAGAAAGTGTGTGATGGCAGCCCTAGTTCAGAAGTAGCAATTGACTCAAATCTGAAAGACAGGATGGGGATCGTGCATTTGGGTACTGGTATTGGGATCTCTCCTTACAAAAAGAGAGGGTTATTTTAACTGCAAACAAACAAATAACAACAAAAAACACCTGAAAATGTAATCACTGATTTTCACATTTAAAAATATTTTCATACTTTTCTACACTAACTTATTTATGGAAGAAGAATGTCATTAAAGAGAACAAAGAGAAGAGACAGAGGTACAGTGGATCTTCCATCAATACAGAAGACATGAAGAAAGGCTGGCTTTTATGTTCTCATCAGCCCCACATGGATAATAAGTCAGAATAATCCCAAACCCTGGCCACTGGACACTTATCTCTCTGTTCCATGAACCTAGGCCTGCACTGCTCTCCTCTGTTAGCCTTATCTTCACCAGGTAGAGGGTTTTCTTTTCCTCACCCCTCCAGTTAATACATCTGTGGTAAGATGCATTTTTATGCATCCTCTTTCTTCACCCATTGCTGCTGCTACTTTGTCACATATACACTCTCTATGCTGGGAAATGCTATTGGTAAGATAAGTAAAGACATGTAGACATGGCCTGCATAACAACACATCCTAATTAAGTCCTCCCTCACATTAAAAAAAAAAGGGGGGGGGTCATTTATCTCAAATATTTAGCTCTAAAGTATATGAGAGACTTAAGGCTTTCTCCACTAACATACAAGCTGTCAAGAACCCTATGCTGCCCCTCTAAAATACTGCCAGGATTCTGAGGTGAGCACAGGCAAAGCAGAGAGGGAGACAAAGCAAAAGAGAAGAAGAGAGAGGGGAAACTTAAAGATGTCTCCAAGGCAGTCATCTAAGGAAATTCTTTCAAAGACAGGACTCAACTAGAAATGTAAAAAATGATTTGTGACATTTTCTGGCTGTTAAATGAGCTCATGAGATCCATCTAAAGTAAAATTTCTTTCTGGTATAGGTCTGTACCTACAACCCCTCTCAGTTAATAGGGGCCTAGCCAAGGAGCTGCAATTCTGCCTCTTGTTCCTTCTCATTCCCTTAACTTGTAGTGTGGAGTTGAGACCTGGTGGACACCTCAGCCATCTTCTTATCCAAGCCCTATGTTGTATAATATTTAAGAAACCTGGGAAAGAAAATATATTTGCTACGTGTTCAAAGGATAAGGACAAACACACAGGCTTCTTCCTTCCTGGCCTAATAATACCTCTATCCTTTAAACTTGTAGTAATCCAACTGCAAGTGATATATGAATTTTAATTTCTACTCTTTTCACTCATGACTGTGATAATGAAGAGTATGGCTATCTCTGCTTTGTACCTCAATTTCCCCAAACATGTAATTGGAAGTTGGATCCTAACCTAACTGATAACAGAATGCCCCCAGCATTTTTTCAATAGTCTATAAAGGGTTATATTGGCATTAACTTCTGTTTAAATTATTTTATAATATTATCGTTATTATTATCCCATGTATTACTGCAAAAGGGAAAAAGTGATTCCCTTCAAGGCCATCCTGCAGACTTATACTAACTCCCTGGAGAATGTCACATACCTTGTCTTCCTTTGAACTCTCCATCTCTGCCCCTTCCTTGAATTTTTCCAGTGCACTCTTGAGGTCTTGGGATGTATATGTGTTAGTGTTGATGTCCAGCCTGTCCAAAGAAAAGTTGGGAGTTAGGAGGGAGACGCCATATTTCCCAAGAAAGTACTCCGCCCCTTCCCATGGGTGGCTGGTATTTCAAGGCAAGGCCAACTCTAATTCAGTGTATCCTACCCTACTTTTACCTTCAGTCAACCAGAAGTCCACCAGGGGAATCTTATCTTTGAGCTAGAGGAGGAAAAGACAGTTGAAGATGGGGTCATTTCATGAAAGAGGGGGAAATGGTATGGGACAGGACAAAGGCCCACCATGGACAAAAAGCTCTCAGCCAGCTACTCAGGCAAAAACAAGTCCGGAATGTTTCTGCAATGCTGCTCTCTCAGCACATGCCAGGGCAGGACCTCTTAAAGGGCACCGAACACAAGAGAATAACATAGACCCTATTTATATTCTTTTAGGAAATAAACCAACAGAGATCTGAGCCCACCAAGAATGTGCCTGACCTGATTTGGCAAGCCAGCCTGTCTTCATAAAAACAAGCTGGATAAATTCATACCTTTAAGACCGACCCACAAGCACAGAGTAGATGCAGAAGTTATGTGTCAACCTAACACAGGAATGGATTTAAGTTGCCAAAGACTAGAATCAAGGTCAGTCACCTTCCAGAACTAGCCTCCAAAAAGAGGGAAGAAAGGAACCAATGTGGGTGTAATCTAGGTACATGGCAAAATCTACAGAATTATATCCTCACAGAGACCACTGGAGCTAATCGAAGCCAAAACCATTCAACTTGACTGAGAAGGCATTCATGGGGTGAAGAGTGGAGGCAGATTTTAACACCAGCAGTAATTTCAGTTCAGTGAACAGAGGTGGGAACAAAAGTAAGATGGACAAAGGGAAGTATGGAATATGGACTATGCTTGACAAGAGGAAGCTTCATTAAGGATAACCCAGGAGATTTATTAAGGTGGAGGAGGAAGTATTTAACTCTGTGGGATCACTAACTTCTTTGGCATTCTGATGAAAAGGGGTGGGTCTTGTTCCCCAGGGGAATAAACAAAATACTACAACAATTTGGGAAATTAGCCCTGTCCTTGGACTCTGTTCCCATTCTAGTGCTAAAGAGCCAGGAAGATACTGTGAAGTAGAATTGGAAGAGCACAGGAAGAGGTTGACCTAGAAGAAGGAAGTCACCACCCAACACAGCCAAAAACTCCTGAGCTCACAGCAGTCAACACCCACACCACCTTTAAAATGCTTTGGGCTCCTGTTCAGACATGTTTTCCCCTGGCAATAAATGCTGAAAAGAAAGAGCACACGTCCAGCGTATCTTGAAGGCCATTCCAGGGCACAGTCCTTAGAAACATTTCAAAGGAAAAAAGTTAAGAGTCAGGAGTAGAGACAAATCTTTCTCTTATGGTGTGTCTATCACAGACCATTTGGATGGCTCTACTTTCTATTCTGAAAAGATGTGAACGGGCAAAGTAGCAAGTGCTCCTAGTGATCTGCAGTCAGGTATGGAGAAATAACTTCCCATGGTATTAAAAACAACAAATAAAAGAGTCTACATTAGTCCAATTCCTAATTCAGTATTCTTAAACCAATAAATAAATAAATAAAAGTCTTTTTATTTAGAAAACAAGACTTGATTTAGATGTGAAAAAAGACCTCCTAAAATGCTTTGAGACCCTGATATGTGTGTGTGTGTGTGTGTGTGTGTGTGTGTGTGTGTGTGTATGCCTGGGAGGAGGGAGTTGACAGGGTTACAACAGTGATATTTGATTATTTCTTAGATGGCTGTGAGAAATTAATCATCACATGACTTGGGTTACTGCAGATATAGGTGTATGTAGAAAGATAACAATTTTTCCCAGTTCAGGGTGACATTAAGGAAGTCAAATATCTCCTTATCTATCACAAATAAAGTCAAACTTTCCAACAGTAAAAACTACCCAAATATGAATAGATTGCTTTGTGGGACTATGAGTGCCACATGACTGAAGGTGCATATGGAAAGGCTGAGTGGCTTTTTGGTGAGGTAAATCAAGGAAAACACTCAGGTAAAAACTGGGCTGCTAAAGTCCCTTTCTGCCTCATATCTAATTGTAAATATTGTTAAAATTATAAATATACAATGACTTAATAAGACTAACTCCACTCAATCCATGTCTGATTCTCAATACTTAACATGCATTAAAACAGGGGCAGCAAACTATCTTTAATGACAGATAATACTTGAGGCTTTGTGGGTCTTATGGTGATTGTCCCAACTATACAACTCTGCCAGTGTCACAAGAAAGTAGCCATAGAAAATACATAAATGAATGAGTATGGCCATCTCTATATATAAAAGGCTAATATGCAAAGTGTCCCCTCAGGAGTTCAATTGCTCACTATGACACATGCTGACCACCAGGGGGCAGCGTGGAACAAAGGAAGGCTGCAGCCAGGGAAGGGAAGCCCTGGAAGGCCCCCATTAGCTCTGATCGTGGCCAGATCTAGGGATCCTGCCCATGAACAATTTCCATGCACCGGGCCTCTAGTGTTCTAATAAAACTTTTTATGGATACTGAAATCTGAATTTCACACAATTTTCATGAGTCATGAAATATGCTCCTTTTGTTTTCTTTTTCCAATCATTAAACAGTGTTAAAAACAACTTCGCCATACAAAAACAAGCAGCAGTCCCAAAATGAGTTATAGGCCATAATTTGCTGGTCTCTGTGTAAGAAACATCATGGCTGGTATTAATACCGACCTTTCAAACTGCAGAATTCTAGCAACCCTTAAAGTCCCATGCTTTAACCTTCTTAAACCTCATGCAGAAAATAGAAAACAGAAAACCTGGTAATTCAAAGCAAATAACAGAAAAAGAGAGACTATGAATTGCCAGAAATCAAATAATCAAATAAGCTGGTTAGTAAAAAACAAGGCAACCTCTCACCATTGGAAAACCTTTATACTCTAAGAGAGCTTGTTTTAATTTAATATGGACTAACAAGAGGAAAAGTTAGTCTGAATTAAAGACTTTAAAATGCAATTTTATTGTTCACCAAGGAAATATTATTGCAAAGCAGAAGGCCTAACAGGCCTGTTTTAATGAATAGATGACTCATCTGTAATCAGCACATTAATTGTTGGGATTCAAATGGGTGCTCTTAAAGTACTGGAAAAAACAGCTTTTTTAAAATTTAAATTCTTTATAGTTTAAAGTATTACATAAGTCTCCTTTTTCCCCCATTGACCACTCCCTAGCCACCCCTACCCCCCAGCACAGTACCTCATCCCTCCTCCCCTACTCTGTTTCCATAGGTTATGCTCATATGCATGAATACAAGTCCTTTGGTTGATCTCTTACCTCCTCACTCCTGACCTTCCATCATAGGTTGGACAGTCTATACGATGCTTCTATAACTTTCATTCTATTTTTGTTCATCAGTTTATGCTGTTCATTATATTCCACAAATGAAGATCATGTGATATTTATATTTCTCTGACTGGCTTATTTCACTTAGCATAATGCTCTCCATGTCCATCCATGCTGTTGCAAATTATAAGAGTTCTTTATTTTTTATAGCAATGTAGTATTCCACTGAATAGATGTATCACATATTTTTAATACACTCATCTGCTGATGGACACTTAGGCTGTTTCCAAACCTTAGCTATTATAAATTGTGTTGCTATGAACATAGGGGTGCATATGTCCTTTCTGATTGGTGTTTCTGTTTTCTTGGGATATATTCCTAGAAGTGGGATTACTGCGTCAAATTTAAGTTCCATTTTTAGTTTTTGAGGAAACTCCATACTATTATCCACAGAGGCTGCACCAGTCTACATTCCCAGCAGCAGTTTACAAGGGTTCCTTTTTCTCCACATCCTCACCAGCACTTATCCTGGCACTTTTCAGTCTGCAGGCCAAAGCTCTATCCATTGAACCAAACCGGTTTCAGCTCGGGATTTTCTTGTTATTGTCTTTCTAATTCTTTAAATTGTAGAGTTAGATACTTTATTACCATTTTTTTTCTTTTTTTTTTTCTTTTTTTTTCCAGTAGGCCTGTAATGCTATGAACTTCCCTCTCAGGGCTGCTTTCACTGTCTCCCAAAAATTTTGGATTGTTGTGCTCTCATTTTCATTCATTTCCATGATATTTTTAATGTCTTCTTTGATCTTTCTGGTAACCCAATCATCTATATAATGAAGAGGTAATATGCAAATTGAACCTCACACCCTTGCACAAGATGGCTGCCCCATTTGGTTAAAGATGGCTACCCCATGTGGTCAAAGAAGGCCACCACAAGATGGCCAGCAGGGGAGAGTAGTTGTAGGCAATCAGGCCAGCAGGTGAGAGCCGTTGGGGGGGACCAGGCCTGCAAGGAAAAGAAGTTGGGAGCAAATAGGCCAGTAGGGAAGGGCAGTTAGGGCAACCGGGCCAGCAGGGGAGGGCAGTTAGGGGCAACTGTGCAGGCAGGAGAGTAGTTAGGAGTCAATCAAGCTGGCAGGGGAGTGGTTAGGAAGTGATCAGGCAGGCAGGCAGGCAGGCAGGCAGGCAGGCAGGCAGGCAGGCAGGCAGGCAGGCAGGCGAGTGGTTGGGAGCAGACTGGATTGTGATATCAGGCCTAAACCAGCAGGCAGTCAGACATCCTGTGAGGGTTCCCAGATTGGAGAGGGTGCAGTGTGGGCTAAAGGACACTCCCCCACCCCACCCAGTGCATGAATTTCATGCACCAGACCCTTAGTAGCTCAAAAAAAATTGGAAAAATTAGAAAAAAAATAAAATACCTGCATGTCATTATATGCAATAGTTAGAAAATGGCAATAATCTAATTAGTTATGGTTTTCTTTGAAAATGAAACTATTTGGTAACTTTTGTATCTAATCTTATATAATAAAAGAGTAATATGCAAATTGACTGTTATTCCAACATACACATGATCAGGCTGGCAGGTAGAAGTTATTAGGGGCAATCAGGAAGGAAGGCAGGTGAACAGTTGGGAGCCAGCAGTCCTGGATTGTAAGAAGGATATTGGGATCGGGCCTAAATGGGCAATTGTATATCTCTCGAAGGGTCCCAGATTGGAGAGGGTGCAGGCTGAGCTGAGGGACACATCCTGTGCACGAATTTCATGCAACAGGCCTCTAGTTGTTTAATAGCATGCTATTCAGCCTCCAAATGTTTGAATTTTTATTATAGTTGATTTCTAACATTATGCCATTGTGGTCTGAAAAGATGCTTGATATGCTCTCAATGTTCTTGAATTTGGAGACACTTTGCCGGTGACCCAATATGTCATATATCTTTGAAAACATCTCATGTGCACTTAAGAAGAATGTATATTCTATAGCTTTGGGGTGGAATGTTCTGAAGATGTTAAGTCCATCTGATCTAGTGAGTCATTTAGGATTTCTGGTTCTTCGTTGATTTTTTTTTTGTCTAGAGGATTTATCCAGTGATGTTAGTAGAGTATTAAAGTCCCCTTCCATGATCATATTGCTATCAATCTCTCCCTTGATATCTTTTTTTCATGTATTTCTGTACTCCTGCATTGGGTATATATATATGTTTACCAGAGTTATATCCTCTTGTTATATCGATCCCTTTAGTATTATGAAGTGGCCTTCCTTATCTCATTATGGCCTTCACCTTGAGGACCATTTAGTCAGATATAAGTATTGCTACCTCAATATCTGACTAAATGGTCAGATATTTATTTTATTTTTATTTTTATTTTATTTTATTTTTTTCATTTCCATTTGCCTGAAATATATTTTTCCCATCCCTTCCCTTTCAATCTGTGAGAGTCTGTTATTCTGAGATGGGTTTCTTATAGACAGCATATATATAGTCACGTTTTATCCATTCAACCACTCAATGTCTTTTGATGGGAGCATTTAGTCCATTTACATTTTAAGTTATTATTGAGAGGTACTTTTGTAGCCATTTATATTTTTAGTGACTGTATTCCTTCTTCCCCCTTTTTTTCTTCTTTGTATAGCAGTCCCTTTAGCATTTCTTGCATTGCTGGCTTGGTAGTGATAAACTCCCTTAGCCATTTTTGTCTTTGAAACTCCTGATTGCCCCTTCAATTTTGAATGATAGCCTTGCTGGATAGATAATCTTGGGTTCAGTCCCTTGCTTTGCATTACTTTGTATAAATCATTCCATTCCCTTCTGGCCTGATGTGTTTCTGTTGGGAAATCATTTGATAATCTAATGGGGGATCCTTTGTAGGTAATTCTCTTTGCAATCTTTAAAATTCTCTTTGTCATTAATGTTTGCCACTATAAATACGACATGTCCTGGGGTGGGTCTTTAGGAGTTCATCTTGTTTGGGACTCTCTATGCTTGGGTGCCGTTTTTCTTCTCCATATCAAGGAAGTTTTCTGTCATTATTTCTTCAAATAGATTCTCTAATCCTTACTGCTCTTCTTGTCCTTCTGCCACCTCTATTGTAAGCCTGTTACTTCATTTCATGTTATCCTCAAGTTCCCTTTGGCTCTCCTCTTGCTTTCTAATTTTTTTCTCCAATGCTGTTCAGATTGGGTTTGTTTCTCTGCCCTATCTTCTAGATCACTAATGCGATCCTCCACTTCTCGTAGTCTACTGTTGAAGCCTTTTATGATGTTCTTTATTGTAGCTATATCACTTTTGATTTCTTCTTGGTTCATACGTAGGTTGTTGATTTTCTTGTCCATCCAATTTATGAACTGCATGACCATTACTCTGAATTATTTTTTAGACATATTGCATGACTCCATTTCTTTTAGTTCTTTTTGTTGTTGTTATTGTTATTTTTTTTTGCCATTCCTCCTTTCCTTTCCTTTGAGGGTTTCTTTCTTGTCTCCCCATTGTTTGCTATTGTTGAAGGGTCCAGGTGCCCAGTTGTGAGGGGCCTGAGCTGCAGGGGTGGGCTTAGTGGAAGCGTCACATACACAGACAGTCAGGGGTGCCCAAGAGATGAAGCTGTCACAGTCCAGGCAGGGTCTGTGCACGCCGACAATAAGGGGACTGACTCAGGATGATGGGACCTGTGCTTCCAGGGACAGGCAAGAAAGGAACACTCCAGGACTCACCATAGCCAGAGACTGGTATGGGTGCAGTCAGTGCCCAATAGTCTGTCGCTGTGGTAGAGGTCTTTGTCCAAATTGGCTGTAGGGTCTCTGTTTTCATCCAAAGCCAAGTATTGCTACCCCACACTGGTATGGGTGGTGGTGAGGCTGGGCTTCTAAGTCACAGCATCTCTGCCCTTCAAAATACTATAGTTTCTGTGCCAGTGCTGGCCACCTGGGAATGCCCACAGAAGTAGCTTCCCGTCCAAGAGAGCCCCAAAAAGTCTTGCAGGATCTAACTGTCCTTTACACACACACACACACACACACACACACACACACACACACACACATTCCCCTTTCACTCCCTCACTCTCTCACACTCTCTTCCTCACTGCCATCCTGCTGGCTACCATCTTCTCTTCCTTCAATAGCTTCATTTTTAAAACAGGTTAAGCATTCCCCTTACTGCCTTTTTTCAATTTGCTTTGCAAACTATTTCTTTCCAAAGACCCAAAGAAGTAAACTTCCAAAAAACCTAAGAGGTTTATCACAAATTCTAGGCTATTAAATATTTCAAATATATTTAAAAGTCACATGAATTTGCATTGCATTCATTACTATAAGAAGCATTATATTGTCATTACTTTCAGTATTACAAAATCAGTGTTGTTAGTCTCTTGATCTCTAGGAATGATGCTGTACCTTTTGCCTTTTTTTGACCCTTTCAAGGTATTTTGAAACTTGTCTTCATCTTGGAGTTTCACTTCTCTTGCCCCAGTCTGGAGATTCAGCCGCACATGGGATCCTGCAGGGACAGCCTGGCCTAAAAGCCAAGAAGAGAGAAGTCTCATGAGATATACAGTCCTCAGAGGGACACCGATTGAATGGCTTGCTAACAAGTTCATGAAGTTATTAGTTCATAAAGAACAGACTCTGTAGTATTCAGCTACCTGAATCTATCCATATCTCCTCCTCCTCCCCTCCCCTCTCTTCCTCCTTTCCTCTCTTCCTCCTTTCCTCTCCCTTCCTCTCCCCTCCCCTCTCTTTACCTCCCCTCCCCTTCTCTCTCTCTCTCTCTCTCTCTCTCTCTCTCTCTCTCTCTCTCTCTCTCTCTCTCTCACACACACACACACACACACACACACACACACACACACCAATCTCAATTCTCCTTTTGCTAATCCACATCCAATGAAGAGAGGAAGCAATGTGGGCAAAGGTATCTATATTTTCATCCAGAGACTAATGTCCCCCAGTTAGAACCTGCATATTTAAAAAATTCCGTTTTCTTTAAGTTGAGCTATAATAAGCCTTTTGCTTTGTACTAGTAAATGAATAGTGAATACTTACTTACCCTTCAGGACATGGCTACATTACTGCCTCCTCCACTACATCCTTTCTGACCCTCCTATGACAGAACTCCAGACAGCTTGCCATTCTAGCAAACTTATACCTCACCACCTCATCAATTTAATCCGGCTCCCTCTATGAGGCTCTCTCCTGTATGAGCAAAGGGACTATATCTCCTCTTTTTTTAATTTCCCCAGCCTCTAGGCCAGAGTTTGTCATATAAAATTTGTGACAATGTTTATAAGAAGGAAGAAGCAACAGATTGAAAGGCAGGAGGACATGACAAGCCAAGGAGACAGGGATTGGAACCAAGAAAAATTAAAAACCTATACCCACCTATATCAGAAGAGCTGATCTACTAGCTGGGCAGATAAATGTTGTAAATGAATGGGCTATTCATACACACTGTACAAAATTACCAAGGATAGTTATAAAGCAACTTGCAAGATCACATATTACAAATGGAATGTTACACTTATTTATTCATGCAAGTGATATTTATCAAGCAACTACTATACACCCGACCACTGTGGTAGATAAGATTCTAGGAACAAAAGAGGAATATTAAACAGATATTTTCAGGGGGGAAGCTCTTTAGGTGATTGCAAGTCTAGAAGCAGAGATTCTGCTCTAACACACCTGACCTTTGACTCTGCTTTTTCCTGGCAGAGGATGGCACCACCCTGATGGTGCTGAGCATCATTCAAGAATCAGAGGGGGGAGGGGTGGTGAGAGAAACAATCTGTGAACATTCCTTAAAGGGAAATACATAGCACAAATTCTCTCAAAATGATCCAGTAAACCGGAATATAAAAGGGTAACAATGTATATGAATTCAGGTTTTCTCAATTCTAGCAGGACTATAGTGAACTTCAAGTTCCACCAACCACTGTGCTTCCATTACAGAACCAGGGAGCCAAGGAAACGTCATTCCAAGACATGCTGTTCCTGCCATCCCACATCAGCAGAAAATTTCTATAACTTTGGCTAAAAATAAATGGAAATTTAAGTACCTGAGTGTATGTGTATAATGATCCTCTTCTAACCTCAAACCTATCCCAAATGTTTCAAGGATAAAAAAATATGTTCAGCCTGGCCAGTGTTGCACAATGAGTTGAGCATTGTCCCAGGCACCAGGTGGTCGCCAATATATGATAATTCTGATCAGGGCACATGCACTGATGTTTCTATCTCTCACCATCTCCCTTCTTCTATCTGAAATGTGTATGTGTGTATATATATATACACACATATACTTCAGATAGAATGAGGAAATCTTTCTCTGGAAAGGCTTCCTAAATATGGATAAGTTGGGGATTAAATGCGATAAAAATTGAGAGCAAGTCATCTGTATTTCTCTACTTTGCCAACACTACTCCATACTCAATCTATCTCCAAAACCTGGTAATTAATACCCTTCTCTCTGTCTTCCCCATCACTGCTCTTGTTCAAACCATCACCACCTCTCTTGTAGACAGTGCTGAAGCCTCCTAACTGACCTACTCTACCTACTCCTACCTCCCTATCCACGTGTTCTTTACAATGAATGATTTTTTTCCCAAAATACAAACCTGACTATGTTATTTCCTGCTTCAAACCTTTTAATGGTCTCCTACTATTCTTAGAATAAAGATATAAGTCCTCATGCTGATCAATGAGGCCCTTTAGTATCTAGTCCTCGCCTGCCCCTTTAAGACTGTCCTCAACTCACTCCCCATGCTCTAGTAGTCGCCAACTAGTGGTCTGTGGACCACTGGTGATCCATGAGGTCCGAAAGGTTAGTGATTGCTGCTCTAGGATACACTGGCCATTTTCCATTCCATGAAAGAACCATGCTACTTCCTACCATGGGGCCATTCCACTCCTGCTCCCTTTGACCAGAATGCTCTTTCCAACCCTAGCTTCCAACTCCTTCCCCTTTCAATCCTAGCTAAGAGTCACTCCCTCTGAGTGCATCTTCTATTTCCCAGATCAGATCCAGCCACCCCCGAAAGCAGGGCTGGGGAATGTCTGGTCCCAAGCCACATAAGGCCTGAGAAATCATTTTGTGTGGCCCTGCCACAGTAACCGCAGGCAGGACTCAAGATTCAATAATTCTAGGAGCTTTTTTCATAGTAACATACATTTATATTAAATGAATTATATTAAGCAAGTAATATTATAAATATCCAAATGAACCTTAGCAAAAAAAAAAAGTTTCCTACCCCTGCCTTAAAAAGGCTTTCACAGCACCATGACCCTTAAAAAAAAAAAAAAAAAAAAAAAAAGCATTTTATTTCATTCAATTGTTATATATGAGGTATTGTGTGTGTTTTTTTAATGTGCCTGGTTAATATAAAGGCTCAACACTTTATCCCCAAAACATATCAAAGGTCCTAGCATATAGTAAACCCTCAATAATTATTTGTTGAGTGAAAAATTACATTTGAGAGAAAAGCCTAACTGATCTAGAAGTATGTGGAAAGGCCAAGGATTTTCACTATGGCAAGTAGATTCATAATAATTAGTAATCATGTTAATAGTTACTTTTAGTAGTAATAGTACTAATACTACTGCTACTAGTAACAATAGCAGCATCTTAAATTTTCAGACTTTTGATCAAAATTAGAAATGGAAAAGGAAAAAAAGTACATGACTTTATAAGTTTAAAAAACGTAACAGGTTATACCAGGCTAAGCTGGCCAAGGAAGAGACTAGGATCTTATGAGAATCAATTTATTTAATTTAGGGAAATTCCCAAATTACTCCCTTCACATAAGCCACCACAGGGGGCAAAAGCAAGCACAATAGCATTAACTTAAAATACAGGTTACGCTTATTTCAAACACACGCAACCAACCATGGCAGCAGCAGTGGCAGAGGCAGCAGAAAATACAGTATTTTCAAATGTTTCCAACCCACTGGGAAAAAGGCCAAGTTAAAGAGAGAGTGGGGTCTGACCTGCATCCTTCTAGGGCCTCTGTGAAGGGATCACAGTACTGGGGAAGAGCACAACAAAGGCAAAAATCACTAGATAACATGCAAGTAAAGATAGAGATTGAGAGGGTGGGAGGCAGAAGGCAAGAGCCCAGGAACAAAATAAGATGGGGATCTAGAAAGGCAAAGAGGTCGCCGAAACCAGTTTGGCTCAATGGATAGAGCGTCAGCCTTTGGACTGAAGGGTCCTGAGTTTGATTCCGGTCAAGGTCATGTATCTTGGTTGTGGGCACATCCCCAGTAGGGGGTGTGCAAGAGGTAGCTGGTCAATGATTCTCTCTCATCGATGTTTCTAACTCTCTATCCCTCTCTCTTCCTCTCTATAAAAAATCAATAAAATATTATTTTTAAAAGAAAGGCAAAGAGGTCTACAGTATCTTTTTCCCCCACTGGCTCCCTGGGGAAGCTGTCTATAAGTGGAAGCTTTGTCCAGATTAAGCAAGGCCACTTCACACTTGAGCTGTGACTCCCATTGGGACTCTCACTGATTTCAATCACAGACCAAGACCGAGGTAACACTCCTGCTTTCCCCATGGTGAGTAGGGGGAGAATCTGTGGTATATTGCATTATTGTCACAAACTTTCTTCCCTTTCCCCCTTTGTACATTCACACCCTTTGCCATGCAGCCCCTCTTATACAGTAAGAAATTAGAGTGGTAGAGGAGACTTTTAGAGCTGTTGGTTTCGGACTTGCTTGTGATGTGCCTTGGCCTGTGGGATGTTAGCAAATGTGCCATCATCATGAAAAGATCATGCTCCACTAGTATCCAGTCCAAAAAGGATGACAGGCCCAAGGAGTGACCCGAATTCAAACCACAGATTGGAGCTAAGCCCAGCTAAGCCCAGCAAGAATAAAAGACTGGATTTCTTTTAATTTTTAATTTGAATCACCTTTACCTTACACAAAAGTTGCAAAAATAGTACAGTTTCCAAATATTGCTAACATAGCCTTTCCAAATGTTAATATTTTACATAGCCAAAGATGATTATCAGGACTGGGAAATTAACAATACCATTCACCAAACTATAAAGATCCTTTTCAAATCTTACTAGTGTTTCCATTAATGTCCTTTTTGATTCCAGGATCCCTTATGGCCTTTGTATATTTCTCCCTAGTATCCTGCAATTGTTTTATAGCCTTCCCTGTCTTTTATGACTCTGACACCCTGAAGAATATTGATCAGTTATTCAGGACTGCCTTGTATGTTCTCATGATTAAACTAAGGTCATATATCCTTGTCAGAGGCACCACAAAAATGATGCAGTGGTGTTCTCAGTGCATCATATCACAAAATCTATAATGTCAATATGTCTTCTTACTGGTGATACTGGCCTTGATCAACTAAGAAAAGAAATTTCTACTGGGCTTTTCCACTGCAGCAAATCAAAATAAATGCAAACTACCAAACTATAGAAAATAACTTGACAGTTTCTCAAAAAGTTAAACAGAGTTAACTACATGAATCCAGCAATTCCACATCTAGGTATATACCCAAG